AAGTTGATATATCAGAGGAAAACACACTCCAGACCCCATGCCGGCTCCCCGTCCCTGTGCTAAATAGCTAAAGGAAACACACTTCAGGCCCTATGCCAACACCAAATAGTCGCCCGGGACGGACTGGAATCTATCCCTACGTCCCGTAGCGGAAATGACCACTAGGTAAGTACAAAACCAGTGAAAGTCATCCATCATCTATACTATAAAGAGGTGTTCTAAACATGTTCTAAATATCATATTGTCAGCCATTGAATATTCTATAAGAACACGGGTTATAAAAAAAAAAATAATCAAAATAGCCTCAATAAACATGTTATCTCATAAAACGTTTCATAGAACATAATTGTTAAATCATGCTTTTCATGTATGCATTTCTATTATTAAAACATGCATTTTTAGAAGGGGTCCACTCACCGCACACCGTTGGTGCAAAGCATACCAAAAAGGAATAATGGAATCACTGTTACTAATTGCACCTATTCACACAAAGGGTACATTCAGTCAAACTCTACTCAAACAAATTAATTTGGAAAAACGGGCGTAAAAAACGGGTACAAGATGTTGAAATTAGCCTAGGAGGGTCTCAGATGAAAACTCGAAAAGTCAACCCAAAAAGTCAACGTTGACAGTTGACGGGTTAAAGTCAAAGTCAATGCTGACCGTTGACCGAGTCAACGATCAGACCAGATCAAAGGTATTGGGTTGGACCAATTTGGGTCTAAGGGTTTAAAAGGTTTGGGCTTTAGGGATATGGGTTTAGGGTGTAGGTAATTAGGTAGGATGGGTTAGTGGGCTTAAGAAATGGGTTTTGGGAAGTGGGCTTAGGGTTTTAGGTGGACTGGGTTTAGCTTTAGGAATTAGGCTTAGGGCTTTAAGGTGAACGGGCCTAAGGCCCGACTTTTAATCAACCCAAGGGCCTTAGCTTAAATAGGATTTTGGGTTGAGTTTTAGAAATAGGAAATTGGGTTGGGTTTAGGTTTCTAGGTAAAAGCGTTTAGGTTGGTTCTGGGTTGGGCCTAAAGGCCCATGGGTTTGAGTTCTTAAGGGTTTTGGGATGAGTTCAAAGGGTTAAAAGGTTGGGCTTGGCAAGAAAAGCCTAAAGGCCTGGTGTGGTTGCTGCTCGCCAGAGCTAAACGGAAGGGAAGGCTGGATTTTGGCGGGAAAGTTGAACAAACTTTAAACTTTAATAACTTTGTCAAAACTTAACGAAATCAAGTGATTCAAAAACGGAAATCATAGTTCTCGATGAGACAAAGAGAATGGTACCTCTCACTGACGTCTAACTCATCGTGGTTTGGCTGGAAAACGTCTCAAAAGTCACTGAGGTCGCCAGAAACTGGGTAAGATTCAAATGGATATAACTTCTTCTGAAACAAAAAGGAAAGTTGTAGTACTCGGCGAGACGAAGAGATTGATACCTTGCACGCTGGCTAACTCGCCGTGGTTTGGCCGAAAATTACCTCGAAAGGGGCGGTGCTCACCGGAAAACTGGGGAAATGTCTCCAAGGTGGTTTCTTTGTGGTTTGACATTTAAAACGTGTACAAAAGTTTAGTCAACAACTAACGAAGAGGGAAGGATTAATTCAAAGGTCTAGAACCTTACTCTTATGCGGGGGAATCGATAATCAGTGTCGAACAAGGCGGCTCAGCCGCGGTGATGCAGTTGCAAAGTTGATAGATTGAAGTGAAAGAGTCTAATAAGAGGGATGAGGGACATCCCATAGGTGAGGGTGGCATCTGGTGGTCATCTCCAAAGCACCATCTCGGTGCTAGCCATGAAAGAAGGGAGAGAAGAGACTTGCGAGACGGAGAGAAATGAGATAGAGAAAAGAGAGAGAGTTGTGAGGAGTGAGGGAAAAAGAGAACTTGGGAGAGAAGAGTGAGGACAAGAGAAATGAGAGGGGATCGGGGACAAACAAATCAGGGGTAGGCCCCTTGGGCACACCAATTAAAACCCAAAAACTAATTTTTAAAAGGAAAATATCCCCCCCCAACTTTGTGAAAATACAAAAATACCCTTTTTGTTCCGTAAATCTCGAGACGGGTTGTTACATGCTTTAAGGGTTACAATGATAAAGTGTGATGCAGCTCACCATTTATCACACATACTCAACTTTGAAGCCATATGATGTTTCACATACTTGGAATTGGACCGGTCCATATCAAAAGGTGGCTAATGTCTGTGATGACGTCAACTAGTTGTTGGATTTTTTTTAGAAGTAAAAACTACTGGACAAGGTTTGGTGATTTAAAAAATAAAAAAAAATTAAAGTCATATATAATAGGAAAAAATATCACGAAATCTAATATTTGTATAACATGTTTGGAGGGGATGAATACGGCTACCATAAAAATTTTAATTATAGCCATGCACTATTCATTTTAACTATATTTTAGGAATGGAGGCTAAATTTGGCACAAGTATTAGAAATGGTGACATCATTTGGACAACATCTTCATGCAAGATCAAATCTACCTTAATTAGGATAGTTTATTAAGGTTTATAAAACAGGTCTTCGTTTCACCAAAGCTCATGCAAAATGCATTTAATACCAACCAAGACCCCACCACATCTACCACCTCGATCACCACCACCCATCATTGTCGTCGTACCGCCACCATCCCCTACTATTACCACCGCCAACACCAACCTCAGCCTAACCACCATCTTTGCCACCATTTCAAAATTCATCTTACAAAACATTATCACCAAACATAAACTAAGTATAAAATTTGAGATAAGAATTGATTGAAATTCAAGGCTCAAACTTTTTATTAGTTTAGACGGTGGGACACCCTATCAAATTAGACGTGCTAAAATGAAAGTGAGTCCAGCATTTAATTAAATATAAGTGCTTGAGAATATCTAAATGACATCACTTTCACAAAGCAATCATCCAACTGTATAAAGCTATGTGAGGACACCACGTTGTAAGATAAAAGAAACAAATATTTAGTATTTAATATTTAGGATATTTTATAACAAAAATATAAAAAAGAAAGAAATCAGAAAGCTTACAAATAGAAGAAGTAGTGAAATGAAATAAGATTAACTAGTTCGTTAGTCAATATAATATTTAAGTATTTGATCCCAATTTTTTTTAAATACACGTGTTCAATTATTTACATGTAAGCAAACTGCACAAAAAAAATTAAAGAGTGAATCAATTATTTTACATATATATTTTTAACAAATGATATTATCCACTAGCGGAAAGGAGGTGAGCTTAACTTCACAATGAGGTAACAATAATGTAGTTCAAATTTGTCTTTAACGATAATCAAATCTAAAACTTTTAACTTACAAGTGAAAACTAAACTGTGATATTAAGTGGCTATACATATTTTAATAAACGCACTAAATTCAATAATTAAAATAATTACAGTTCATGTATAATTTGCAAAGTGATAAAATAATAAAAAGGTTACAAGTGGCAGCTTCTACAGAATTGGGTTCGCTACACGGACCCATGTTAGGACGAGCTTCATTTGGTTCTTGTCTTTCAACTTGGTCGTACAGTTCCGGTTTATGAGAGATGTTTTAATGTGATCGAACCATAAGATGGTACATCATATATTATTATATAAATAGTAGAACATGTCTGTTAAAAATCTAATAACTTAAAAAAAAATTCTCATATTATATAAAAATATCAAATATGTGATATACTACCTGTATTCTAATCACATTAAAAAATTTATCCCAATTTATGACATCGAGCTGTGGACCTTTAACAAAAGCCCAACAAGTTTACATTTTGCACACACAACTTGCACTTAATTTTAATTTTGAGTCATTTCGTTGTCGCGCCCTATTAAAATTTGGTGGTCCAAAAATCTTGGGTTGAGGATGAATAAGATGGGACTTCAACGAGTTGACGGGTGACTGAGTCATTCGGTAGCCGGTGGCCTATCAAGTTTGACTATATTGACCCTTGTGTAGATAAAATTGTTCTGGAAGCTGGTATAAAATTACGGTTTAATATTGTTCTTTTTCACTTGTAAAAAGAAGATTTATGGTTCAATTTCTATCAATGGTACGTGTCATATTTACTATGACTAACTCACTGTGTGATTTAGTTGAAACTCTATAATATCATTGCATTACAAACAAAAAAGCACTGTACACTATAAGAAACGTAAGTCGCCACTGGTCAATAAAACGCACCTGTGTGTACAAATACCCTTAATTTATTGGAAAAATATCAGTAATAGTTGGAAATCTTGCCCATTTCACTCAAGGAAGTGTTTGTTTCCATATCTTGGGTGCTTGCTTCGATTGTCGACCCACCATGCTAGCATCGTTGTTTTTTGGCCTTCGGTTGCCCAAAATTGAAACCAAGTCCTCCCCAATAAACGAGAAGAGAGTCATAGAGAGTGAGAAGAGGAGGAAGATGACAAGAAAAAACAAGAAAGAAAGTTCATTAATTATTGCCGTTCGATTTTCGATTCAACATACAAGATTGAAGGATTCGGATTGAAGATCCTATTCCCACTAGAACTATACTTCGTTGCTAAAAGAAAGCAATAAGTGATGCTGAAAAACAAACAAATGGACATGTGTTTGAATAATTAAAAACTATGATTGGGCACTTATTCATTTATAATTGGATTTCAGCATGACTTGTTACTTCTCTCCGAGCAGCGAAGCTTGATTCTTCCCACCATATAGATACATGATAAGATTTGTGCTAAAATCTCCTTCCTCTTAGTGTAGATAATATCGTTTGTTTGAGGAAAAAAAAAAAGATTTGTGCTACAAATAATTGTATATTTTAAGTAGTAAAACAAATGGAGTTTTAACGAAATACTCCTGATACTGTTTACTTTTAACTGAAAAACCACATTTTTACATTTATCTAGTACCATTCACTACACCTTTATTGATCTTTTTTAATTAAAACTAAATTTTTTTTTTTTTAATTTTTCATTAATTTTCCTTGAAACAAAATATGAGCCCTATAAATATTATCTTCATATGTCCCATTGCTAAAGTAAAGCATATAACAAAAGGCAAATTTGATCCTCGACAAGCAAAAAGGGGAAAACGCAGTCGTCTCAAATGATTGTGAGTCTGAGAGGCGAAACTCCAGCGATTTTAACCTTCACCCATTTCTTGGCGACTTCACTTTCTCTTTCGGCTGCCTTGAGTCGTTAAGAACCCACCATAGTCAAGATCTCCAAATCACGTTCTTCCGCCCCCAACCCCCTTCTCTCTCTCCTCTCCCGCTCCGTTGACCTAGAACATCCGCCCGGAGAACACCAAATCACTTTCTCCAAGTCCCAGATCCGTTCGTCTCCAGCCCCAATTCCACAAGTCAAAGGTCAGATCTTTCACCCCAATCGCAGTTTCTTCCCCAATCGATTTGCTTTCTAGGGTTCTTACTAGTACTGTTGTATGCAGTTAAGTACTGTTAATCCGTCGTCGTTTGATGGTTTTCGTGTTGTTTTTTGTGTCAGATCTGAGAAGATCCAGTTCAGGTTCTGGGGTTTTTGACTGATTGATTGATAATTATTTGCTGCATCCTGTTGGGAGTTTTGGTTTTCGGGGGTTCTGGAACGCTTTGGGCACTGTTTGTAGATCTGGGTTTAATAGTATTCGTCCTTCTGTTGCTTGATTTGGTAAATTGGAAATGTCGATTTTACCGAAGGGGGATTCGATTGAAATCCGAGAGGTGTGGAACGATAATCTCGATGAAGAGTTTGCTCTGATTCGTGATATTGTTTTGAAGTATCCGTATGTGGCTATGGATACTGAGTTTCCGGGCGTGGTTCTTCGCCCGGTGGGGGATTTTAAGAACATCAATGAGTTTAACTACAAGACTCTGAAGGACAATGTTGATATGTTGAAATTGATTCAGTTGGGTCTCACTTTCTTTGATGAGAACGGCAACCTTCCCACTCTGTCGACCGAGAACCAGTACATTTGGCAATTTAACTTTCGCGAGTTCAACGTGAGCGAAGACATATATGCGAGCGATTCGATTGAGTTGTTGCGTCAGTGTGGGATTGATTTCAAGAAGAACAATGAGAAGGGGATTGATGTGAATCGGTTTGGCGAGCTTTTGATGTCTTCAGGGCTTGTATTGAGCGACAATGTGTATTGGGTTACGTTCCATAGTGGGTACGACTTTGGATACTTGCTTAAGTTGTTGACTTGTCAGAGTTTGCCTGACACCCAGATGGAGTTCTTTAATCTGATCAAGGTTTACTTCCCAGTGTTGTATGATATCAAGCATCTGATGAAGTTCTGCAACAGCCTTCACGGTGGCTTAAACAAGCTTGCAGAACTGTTGGAAGTGGAACGAGTTGGTGTGTGCCATCAAGCAGGCTCCGACAGTCTGCTTACAGCATGTACATTTAGGAAGTTGAGGGATACTTTCTTCAGTGGCTCAGCGGAGAAGTACTCCGGTGTGTTGTATGGTCTCGGCGTTGAGAATGGACAGAGTAGCTAATTGAAAGAAAGTAGTTGTCGAAAGATTGATGAATATTTGTAGACTATTTAAGTGCGAGACACGTAGTTTCGCTGTACACTTCGCAAAAGAATTGTTGTTGTAGTTTTAACTTCTGCTCTTTGCTTTGCTTGTAACTGAGACCTTAACTGGTTCTCTGCAGCTTTGAGTTTCTTGTATATTATTGCAGTTAGTGTTTCAATAAAAGTTTATGAAGTTTCCCTTCTCCTCGCTACATTTAATTTCGAGCTCCATCGTAACATATTGTATGAAAGTTGCAGTTCTTTGGTTGCTTACACATATACAGGATGTTGTTTTTCGATCAATCGTCACTAGTTCTGCATCAGCGTTCGGGGTTCTTGTCTAAGCGATGGTTATCGTACAGAGTGTTGTTGTTTTGCAGTTGGAGATTCTTTCCTTTCATTTGCCGAAGATTGTTCTGTCAAGCCATTTCGCTTCATGCGTGTCATTTTCTTCAGTGTTGGTGACAGTGGGCAGGAATGGGAAGAAGCCTGCAGAAACAGCGTCCTTGCGAAAGGAACCAGCTCGAACATCGACTCTCGGCGTCGGCTGTGCTATTTTTTACTTGTCATCTAAGTAATCGCAGGGTGTTTGAGTTGATATTCTTGGTGCATTTTCAAGGAAGATTTTTATTTTCATGCCTAAGATTGGCATCTTAACTTCCAAAGTTCCAAACAACTCAAGATTTCAGGATTTTGTATATATCAACAAGACTACCTTTTCACATTTCGTTAGTAATATGTAATAATGCTAGTTACATCATATTTGATCGAAACATTCTAGAATCTGGGAGTATTTATCAAATATAGCCTAAAATTAACTCTTAATTTCAAAAATGTCATTTTTTATAAAAAATTTCAAATATATTCAAGATTTCGCTTAAATAGACACAAATACTCTTAAATTTAACAATTAAATAAATTAAAGGCTTTTTAGCTATTGTTGCCTCAAGCTCCAGTCCAACTTCACCTTCGCTTCTACACTCCACCACCAGAACCCTATCCCCTTCGACCCCCTCATTATTGACATTGAGCGCCGATGCGGTTATCGCAAGTGGGAGCAGCATAATTTCAATCATGCCTTCAACGCCTTTTTTCTTACTAATATCGTTTTAGTTTTAAATATAAAAATAGTTCTCAAACGATACATGTTGTTATATGATTGTATTTGTGAGACCCATGTGACGCCACATCATCACACTAACAGAGCAATTGACAGATTTTTCACAAAAAAAACTAAAATGATCACGATGGACAAATTCAAATAAAGATTAAAATGATTCACGATAGACAAATTCAATAACACTACTATTGATTATCATTAATGGTTAAGGACCAGATTAAGGAGTTATGTCAATATCACGAATCATTTTGGCTAAAACGCCTATAATTTATTTGATGGTTAAATTTGAGGGTATTTGTATCTATTTAGGTGGAATTTTGGATATATTTGAAATATTTTATAAAAATTGACATTTTTGAAATTAAGGGTTAATTTTTAGGTATATTTAATAAATACTCAGAGTAATCTGGCACTCAGATCTAATGTTAGTCTTATCGCATTTTATCTTAAGTACGAGATGTGATCCCGTTTGTTTGGTACTATACCCTCCCATGTTTCATACATTTTATAGGCAGACACACATAAGTTTTTTTTCGTATTAATATTATTTCATGTGATAAACACATATTATGTCACGACAACTAATAATTTAAATATGATATTTGACGTAATTGCATATTTGAACAACATTTAGATAAGGTAACCATCGCCATAAATAATTAGGTTTTATATTGTTGGAAATTAGTTTTTCCATTTCCTATACTTCCTCAAAACTGTCACCAAGATTCTCTCTCGAATTAAATTTTGTGCCGGCGTAGGTTGACCTCAGGTAGGAGGAACGAGATAAATACCAACATTACCATAAAAAACGCAAAACAAAAATTTTAAAAACGAGAAAAACACCCTGGCTCTTGTTTTTGAATTCAAAAACAAAAATAATAAGAATCTAAAAATTGGTTATTGGGAATTGAAATCGAACTTAAAAAATCCCAATAAAAAAAGATTGAAATCAAAATTGTTCTTCCCGAAAGTACGAAAATTCCAATCGAGCCCCGGACTGAGAGAACGTGGCGAAGCGCTTTTTCAAAAAGTTGCACGCACGTCGATCTTGGTCTCCTCTTCCTTCTCCGTCACCCCATTTCCTCTCTCTCTCTCTCTCTCTCTCTCTCTGTCCCCCAAAGCACACGGCGGAGCTAATCGACGGCGAGCATCACCACCGTGCACCACCAGGTGATTTTATCATTCCCTCCGCCCTCTCTCTAATTTCAGTTTTTAGAATACACATTACATAATACAACCAGTGATTCGGATCCAAGACCCACGAACCCATCAAAGATCCGATCAGATCCGGATCTCGCACCCCTCATGCCTCGCAAACCCAATTTCCTAAGGTTTCTCTCCGTCCTCCTCCTCCTCCTCGCACTCTGCCATGCCGATCCGGTCAGTTCCGATTGCCCCAAAACCAGCCCCCTCGTCAACTTGGAATCCGAATTCAAAATGCTCCAGCACCAGCTCCGCGGATCGATTCGTATAATCGATGATTGCTCCTTCAAGGTCTCCGATTTCGACATGCTCCCCGGCTCCGACGTCCACTGGTGGGCCGCCGCCGGCCCCGATTTGACGAATTTGACCGCCGGCTTCGTCGTCTCCTATCAGAAGCTCAACGAGACGTACAAAAGCGACAGCTTTATCGTGCGCTTGAAGGACAACGTCACCTGGGATCAGATCCAAGTCCTCGCCGTGTGGGACCTCCCCACCGCCTCCGACTTCGGGCACGTAATTCTCGGGGATTTCAAAAACGGGTCGTCTGGTTCGGCTCCTTCCCCGTCGCCGTCGAGTGGAACCGATTCAGGGAACGAAACGGGTCGGGTTCGGATTCATACTGAGCCGACTATGCTGGAAAATTGCAAGGTTTTGTCGAAGAATTATAGGGTTCGATGGACGTTGAGTGCTGAGGAGAATCTGATCGATATCGGATTGGAGGCCGCCACCGGGACCATGAATTACATGGCTTTCGGGTGGGCCAACCCGAATTCGACTTCCGAGCTCATGCTCGGAGCTGATGTCGCCGTCGCGGGGTTCAAAGAGGATGGCATGGCGTTTGTGAACGATTTTTACATCACAAAGTACAGTGAGTGCACCTTGTACAAGGACGGCGAGGTGAAGGGGGTTTGCCCCGATACCAGATACGAAGGGTCCGGCCCGAATGGTGGCGAGGTGAACAATACCAAATTGGTTTACGGGCAGAGGAGGGATGCCGTGTCGTTTATTAGGTACCAGAGGCCGTTGGTTTCCAATGACAAGAAGTACGATTTGGCGGTGAATTATACGGAGAAGATGAAGGTCATTTGGGCATTAGGGCCGATTAGGCCACCAGATCTTCTTCAGCCGTACTATCTTCCCCAGAACCATGGTGGACCGAAGAGTGTGGTTTTCGGTCATTTGGTGCTGAATGTTTCTGAAAATGTGAATGACTGTTTGGGTCCGTTAGATGCAGATGAAAAGGAGGATCAGCATCTGATTATCGCCGATGCCAAGGCCCCGCTCGTAGTTACTTCCGGCCCAGCGTTACATTATCCAGACCCGCCAAACCCTTCAAAGGTTTTGTACATTAACAAGAAAGAGGCTCCGATGTTGAGAGTGGAAAGAGGGGTGCCCGTCAAGTTTTCAATACAAGCAGGGCATGATGTCGCGATGTACATCACTTCCGACCCACTTGGTGGGAATGCTACACTAAGGAATTCTACCGAGACTATTTATGCAGGAGGGCCTGAAGCTCAAGGAGTTCAAGCCAAACCTATGGAATTGGTTTGGGCACCGGATAGGAATACCCCGGACCAAGTATACTATCAATCTCTTTATGAGCAGAAAATGGGTTGGAAAGTGCAGGTGGTTGACGGAGGTCTGCCTGATATGTATAATAACAGTGTCGTTTTGGATGATCAGCAAGTTACCTTGTTTTGGACATTGTCAGAACACTCAATATCTATTGCAGTTCGTGGTGAGAAGAAGAGCGGTTTTTTGGCAATAGGGTTTGGCAGAGGAATGGTGAACAGCTATTCCTATGTAGGTTGGATTGATAATATTGGTAAAGGGCGTGTAAACACTTACTGGATTGATGGAAGGGATGCTTCGAGTATACATCCAACAACTGAGAATTTGACTTATGTGAGGTGCAAGTCAGAAAATGGCATCATTACATTCGAGTTCAGTCGTCCTTTGAAACCGTCGTGTGGTAAGAGTGATAAACCGGAGTGTAAAAACATAATTGATCCCACTACTCCGCTTAAAGTTGTTTGGGCAATGGGTACTGCATGGACAGATGAGAATCTAAGTGAACAAAACATGCATTTTGTTACGAGCAGTAGGCCTATTAGGGTGCTGCTTATGCGTGGTTCTGCAGAGGCAGAGCAGGATTTACAGCCGGTATTAGCTGTACATGGATTTATGATGTTTCTCGCTTGGGGTATCTTGCTTCCTGGTGGAATACTGTCGGCTAGATACTTGAAACATGTTAAGGGTGATGGTTGGTTCAAGCTTCATGTTTACTTGCAGTACTCAGGTTTGGCAATCATCCTACTTGCTGTTCTTTTTGCTGTTGCTGAGCTTAGGGGTTTCTTTGTCAGCTCATTACATGTTAAGTTTGGGATGGCTGCGTTGTTTTTGGTCTGTATACAACCTGTGAATGCATACGTAAGGCCCAAAAGACCGGCTCATGGAGAGGAGGTTTCCTCTAAAAGGATTCTCTGGGAGTACTTTCATGTGATCGGTGGGAGATGCGCCTTTGTTTTAGGAATTGCAGCACTTTTCAGTGGAATGAAGCATTTAGGAGATAGATATGATGCTGAAAATGTTCACGGACTTACTTGGGCGTTGATAATTTGGTTCTTGATGGGTGCATTGATTGTTTTGTATCTGGAATACCGTGAAAAACAACAAAGGAGGGATAGAAGTTTTGGAAGAAGCAATTGGGTGCTGGGGAACCTTGAGGAAGATGACTCTGTTGATCTGTTGAGCCCGAACGGAATACACTCAGAGAAAGATTCGCAAACATCAGGAAGAATGGAAGTTCAATTAGAGTCTCTGAACAGATAGATAGGTAGATAGTGTTGTTCTTTGATAAGAATTACTCTTTTTCACCAATTTTGAGAGTGTTCTCACATCATATGGGGAATCGAAGGCCTGTTTTCGCGCTGATCACCTTATTCGGCTGCAAGCATTCATCCCGAAGAAGGATATTCACCCCATGGGATGCAGTTTGTATACTTGATACGTCTTTTTACTCAGTGGAAGGTTATATCATACCCATCATTTTATTATGTTGCCTTCTTATCAAACAAGAGCAGAGTCGGGTTGCGGCGGACATTAGGTTAGGACTTCTAGCGTAGATTTGCGATGGTATTTTTCATGCTTTTGGAAAGAACAAGGAAGAGTTGCTTTAGGAAAAATGGAAGTGGTATATTTCTTTTCTTGTAAAGTGTCGTTCGACTAATGTTTTTCACTCACTTTTAAGTCTATAAATTCCGACATACATCAGATGTTTTTCATGTTATGTTGTTTCTTTTGTCTTACGTTTGAGTTTGTTTCTTTTGCTGGACCTGATTCTGCTACATTTGATAATTTTCTGTTGCGCATTTTTAGTGTATGATTCGATCTGCTTAACTTGATTCTACTTTGGTTGAAAAGGGGTGGAATTTTTTGGCGAAATTCCCGTAACCAAACTGATTCCACCCCTTGTTGAATTGTGTCTTTTAATAGATTTTCGAGACAAGTAATGCTAAACAGACTAACTTTTTAAATCAAATTTGTAAATCATATGATGTTTGGACGAGTGACTTAGCTTTGCCTTGAGAGTTGTTAAGGTGCAAACCGAGCGAATCTAATCCAAATTTTGCATTGGGTCGGGGTCGACCATGGTCTAAGGGTGATTCCGCCCTTATGAGTTACAATACATAGAATCGAACAATGGAATTATCTAAACCCCTCTCCCTTATCACCACTTAGACCAACTTTAGGGCTTAAATTTACCCACTATTCACTTAAATATATATATTTTTTGTCAAAGGATAAATGTTGTTAAATTAGATGTAAGATTAGTTACGATGGAGTTCGAACTATGCACCGTTATGCAAGAGCTCAACTTCTTTCCATTACTGTGGTAAATGGCACTTGCAAATATTTTGACTGTTTATGTTTTTGTTTTCTCATCGTCCCCCGTGAAAATATAAATATATGATTTTGTAATCCAATTAATATCACTTGCGGGGATAGCTCAGTTGGGAGAGCGTCAGACTGAAGATCTGAAGGTCAGGTGTTCGATCCACCTTCACCGCATGCTTCCTTTTTATTTAATTATTCCACTTTATATTCACGTGGTGGGCTATGGGCTTCTACGTTGGGACCTGGGCTTTTATCCTTTTTATATTTTAATTTCTTAGTTAATTTCGAATTAAATTTTTTTTTCTATTTATGTCAAATAAAAAAAAAAAGTTTAATATGATAAAATTCCAAAACGTATTTATGGGCATATGCCGTAACCCGATTGTCCTTTGTTGCTCAACATGTACCGCCTCTGCATCGGATGGGCAATTTGAAGATAAGCACTAATAAATTTTAGGATATTTGTGAGATGGACCTTGAAGTTTTAAGTATTTTGTATGTCCATAATGCTTCATCTTTTGTTGCTAAGATATACTACTTTATTTTTTCTGTCATTTTTGTACTTGTTTTATTTGGGTTGTGAGTGAAATTCCCATGACGAAGTTCTTTCTTGGGTGTGAAGTCTAATGTTCTATTACTCACCACATCTACATAGATCCTTCAAATTTTGTTGACAATGATAAATTGCATTTCACAATTTAGAAAGTAATGATTTAACTTCTCAGTTGAATAAGCAAACTTGAAAACGACATAGTTTTTGTATAATGGTACTTAGATATTTTGGAATCATTGGTAATGATTTTTTCATCTCATTTGGTCATCCTTGACATGAGGTTTTTTCGATCAAGATGGGTCAATAGTGTTTTGTCAATGTCACTAGCATCATGTTTGACACGAAATGTGTCTTGTCGTATATACTTTGAATTGTTTCGCACGTGATTTAGATAAATTCACGTGTCATGTTGAAATGATAAAAGTTAACGATATAAACTGCGTAACGCTTTGTTTAAATATAACAGACAAAAATAATCTTATGATTCTTTGATCATTACTGTTATGTAATATTTAACACTTAACAAAATATTTTCTACACAATTTTTGGGTTAAAAGCCAAATTTTTTAGTCCGGAAAATTTAGCTTTTAGCCCAGAAACAGTTTTTCTACTCCAACCCTTATGACCTAAAATTTTGGTTTGGGATTATTGAAGAATGAACTTAGGCTAATTTTTTTCTTAAATTACCTTTTTAAGAAAAAATAATTACGTAGACTATCGTAAATTAATTTTATGAACATTTTAATCTAAAAATATTTAAATTCCGATAAATATTGAAAAATCACTAAATCTTACAAAGCAAGCCTTCAATTTTTAAAATTATTTTAGCCGTTGGATTTAAATTTGGGCCGTTAGATCTTTTTTTTACCGTTAGATTTGATTATATTTGATATCAGCCGTTGGATTCAATGTATTTTAAAATAACATTTTAAAAAAATAAATTTGAATATGAACCGTTGGATCAACCAACGGTCCAATAATGCCAATCGTTCAATGAACAAAAGAGCCGTTGGGCTCATAATTGCTTTCGACAGCCGCCCTGACAGTGGGTCCCACTCTGTCAGGCGCTAAAGGCTAACGCCCGGGTGGGGAGTGTGGCGCGAGTGACCGGGCCGAGAGTGGGTTGGGAAAGGGAGAGTCAACGTGTTTCTGGGCTATTTCTTGGGAGGAATTTGGCCCTCATTTGGCATTTGGTTTTTAGCCCAAAGATTTGACGAGTTGGGTTGGGTTTGGGGGAGAATAGGGGGGAAATTTGGCATTTAGCCCAGGGTTAGACAGAGTCTTAGAGGTGTTGAAAATACACGCACTATGACTACAACGAAATTAAATTATACGCCCCCGAGCTTCAACCAAATTATTTTATAGTCTCCGAAACTCAAATAAATTTCAAAACCTCAAACTTATTATGTAACGTGAAAAGACCTTAAGATCCTTCACCAACCTCAAAATTTACATGCAAGCCAAGATTAGGGCTTTATAAAAAGCCCCCCCCCCCCCCCCCCAATGTAAACAAAGTTCCAATTTCCACGCTGAAAATCCTCTACAGTGTCTGTGGGGTAAGAAAATCATTTGAAATCTTTCTCTCTCTCCTCACTTCCTTTATTTTTTTATTTTCCATTTATTTTTTTAATTATTCTGTTTCATTTTTCTCTAACCCGCTCCAAACCCGGCCGTTCTGGGTTCAGGGGGCTTTCAGGCACACTATCGAAATAATTGGTCCCCCAGATCCACCGAGCTCCGGTAACTCCTTCTCTTCCATTAACGCATTTTAATTACGCTAATATATTAATAATTAAACGCTCACATATCACTTCACTTAGTCAATGCAAAGAGATGTTGTGTGACTTTTGCTGAATTTTGATGTCCCAGAAACCCTTCAAATGGTTTTGTGAATTTTGAGCTTTTTAGGGCTCTTTTACTGTTTTTGGAAACAGGGTTTTGTGTTTTTTTGACTGTGTATTCATCAATCGAACGTTAACTAAGTTTTAAGTTTTAACCAAGAAATGGTGGGAAATTTCTGTTCAACAAACCTTTCTGATGGGTTGTGAATTTCAGTCTTTTAGGGTTGTTTTGCTGTTTTTGTAGATGGGTTTTGTGTATTATCATTGTATGTTTAACTTAAACATATAACTTCACCGAGTGACCAATAATTGGTGGGAAAATTGTAATTTGTTTGCATAAGAAACCCTTGAGATGGGATGTCAATTTCAGTCTGTTAGGGTTGTTTTGCTGTTTTTACCGCGTTTTGCGTTTTTACACATCGAAAACACATTACTCCACCGAGCGACAGAAAATTGGTGGGAAAATTTTAATTATTCCTTGCACTAGGAACCCTTCATGTGGGCTTTGAATTTCGGTCTTTTAGGGTTCCTTTTCTGTTTATACGATTGGGTTTTAAATTTTTCTGTCCAAGAAACCCTTCATGTTGCTTGTGAATTAGGTCTTGGACGGTTGTTTTGCTGTTTTGACAAATGGGGGGTGGTTTTTCATTATTATTGCTTTCTCGATGAGAATTCTCATGTGTGCATTTTCAGTGTGGGGTTGGTTACTTGAAGTTTCAGCTGTTAAGTTTTATTTCTTGCATGAGTTTGTTGTGAATTGTGTGATTATTGATGATGCACGATGTTTTTTTTTTATGTTGCTTCGTATAAGAAAAGTGAGAGTCTTTATAAATGAGGAATTCTTTCGAGTTTGTTCCTAGCATATATGGATTGCTTGAACGTTCTTGATTAGTTGATTATGATGCTTTATGCATGTGGATGTTGCTTGTGCGCGTGTGTGATTGTGTAGTTGTTTGTATTACTGTACTTGTATGTATCTTCGTACAATCCATCTACGTTTGCACTGTATACAGTTATACTTTTTCTTTCATCAGTTATGGCTTCACATTAAATAATGGGATTATTGTTCCAAAGAACCGCTTTTGTACGTAGATAGGCGGGTTTAGGTAATTTCTTTATTGTAGGATTACAAGGATTTTTCTTCACTTACCATTTAGGTCTTGTATTTAATTGGTTTTCTGTATAACGTTTCAGCTGTTCTGTTCATGGAATTGTTATATTGCCATTTTGGTTAAAAGATAGCATCTTGCTAAATTTAGTTGATCATTTTAGCAATTCTAGGTATTGTGCTCGCATAATCATGTTTGCAGTGCATATGATGTACAGTGTCATTTAAAAATTTTCAGACGTATGAATCTCGCAAAAAAAAGGTTAGGAAAAATAGAAGAGAAAATGAAACACGTAGAGATTTCAAGAGTTGAAAATATTGTTAGGTAGATGGGTTTGACTGTGTTCTAAAGAAAATTTTCTAATTAATTTTAAACAGAAGACTACTGTGGTTATTGTATAGATATCACAGTTAGACCATTTCAGGTAGAATTGCTTAATTAGCAGATAAGAACTTCTTCCCCAGTTTCTCATGTATGATCCAGTTGCTGATTCAGTTTACCGCCCCCTTCCTTCCTTGCAGAGTATGAGTAGCTTGGTGGAGAGGCTTCGCGTTAGGTCAGACCGAAGACCGGTGTACAACATTGATGAGTCAGATGATGAGGCTGATTTTGTGTCTGGAAAACGTGGGACAGCTCCGGAAAAGTTTGAAAAGATTATTAGGAGTGACGCGGTTTGTTTCAACTAATTTTTATTATTATTTCTCTTGTTTTCGTGGGTTTCTTGCTCTCTTCTTTTTATCAGTCATCACTATGCATGATACTGAATAGCGAATTGTAACAAATAACTGGAAGTGGAGTAATTATGCATCAAGAACCACACGGATATTTCAGCATAAATTTTCTGAAAATACCATCTACCAATGAATTAATGAAGGACTTTCTTGGAAAA